GCAAAAAACGTACGGAATTGTACGAAAGCCATGGCAGAACTCAGTGACACCAATGGCCTGACCCCTCGCATAGGTCTCTGGGTATTTAAAACATAGAGGCAATGAGAAATTGAACATCTCCAAAAACGGAGCCAATATGAATTTTCTAGGCCCCGAATCCTATTGTGGCCTAGCACCTTGCCATAAAAAAGGATACATCCAAAAATGGATCCTTAATGATTCCAAATCCTGGTGGAACAATACTCCAGGCATGAGGCATGCGAAGAGATTCATAGAAAATTACTGAAAGGATTCTGGTTAGACACCTAACAGCGCACTGTCGCCTACAAAAGGCACATGCACCTAGGAATAGTCAGAAGAAACAATGTGCAGGTAATGCCAGAAAAAAAGGGAAACCGCACAACACGTTTTATGTTTTTGTTAGGGTAGATTCTTGCAACTATGAAAGGAAATGCCACAAGCAAGATCCTAAACAAAGGAGCAAGACTCCAATGGAGGTTGATAACAACCTGATTTTTATAACAACAAGCCATAAGTTGTAAAAATAGAGGAGCAAAAAATATCTACTCATGCGAGGTGCAACAAGCCGTAGCCATTTCTTCTATTCCTATACCTATACCTAGATTATACTGGGATTCATCATTTTAAAGTTTATTTTGAAAAATGGATCAGCAATCTTTCTTTTTTTCATAAATCAGTACAACATTATTACACTGGGTTAACATCCTTGAAGGGACATTGTAATATCCAAATACAAAACTATCTTTTGTACGATGTAGGAACTAGTTTCTATGAGCTGTGCTGATGATTCATGGCAAAAGGATGCACGGAATTTCCTTCTGGCAGAAGAGGAAATGTAAAATATATTGTAACAAGTAAAAGACATTTTAAACTTTTATGCTTCTTTTATAACTCGGCATGAACATTAATCAAGATTTTACACAAAATAAACGTAACCAACAACGTAGAGCCGCCCCATTAAAAGTAAGACGTATAACCAGTATGTAAGTTAGCGGTTTAATTAATATTTTTTTCTTATGGTTGGAACACAACCTATTTGAAATGCACTTCTGGACAGCAAAGAATAATGGTAATAATATTTATGAATGAATAAATAATTAGGCCGTAATTATATCTTGTGTTGTGATTCTGCTGATGGTTTCTGACTCAATAATGGATGTTATTGTTGACCGAAGAGGAATTATTTACGCCTGATATTTGCCATTTTTGTTTGTTTTTTATTTCAACCATCTCACCGAATGGCGAACGTTGAAAATAATAATATAAAATAACGTAACCAACCACCGTGATGTGCGTCAACAGTTTAATTCGCCTCTTTTCTTTATGCAAATGCCCAAAATGTTTTAAATGGGTGGCTGGAAGGCCTAAACAAATTATGAAAGAGTGAAGGACCAATCGTTTGGTTCAAACCAATATAATTGATGAGAATCTGTAAACTGGTAACTGATTAAGCAAGTACACTGGGATGAGAAGTGTATTTATTTATTTCAAAATTGGATATTCTATATACCTATTACTTTTTTGTGGTCAGTCGTTAAAAATAAACGCCTCGCATCCGTCCTCTTTGTTTATAAAAATTGAATCGCCTTCTTGTGCGTCACAAGTTTTCCTTAAACCAGACACCCACAACCATTGCCAAACGTAAGTCTTTAAACGGGTTAAGAGCCTTGACGGACATCAAAAACAAAGAGATTAATCGTAAGGATGTTGTTACTAGATTTTATGATCCTTGTTAATCCTTGTAGTTCAAGGGTGATCAGATTTCGCTGATAACTAATGTTCTCAGTCCTTATAAATTCCAAATAACTAATACGAATCTCTTTATGTCACTACTATAAACATTTTTTACCATTTAACAAAATAAATAATACACATCTGGCATCTGGTCGTTTCTTTTATACTTTTATATGTATTTAAATTAAACACTTATGTTCAGAGTGCTTCCCACAAGTAAAAGACAAGCAACTAACACTTGGTGGAGCAGGTCAATTGGATTTTCCTCTGAACATCCAAACTATTCAAAAGGAAGGTTTTTTAAAGTCTTGAACAGCTCATCGCTTCAAAAAAACCAATCTTGAGTTACATAAGATGTTGATACTGGATTTTCTGATCCTTACTGATCCTTACCAGTTCCTTGTAGATGTCGATTATCTATAAATTTCGTATTTTCCATAATAACCAATAAGGAGATTTGGTTATTATCAATTAACAAAATAAATAAACGTTGTATATCTGGCATTTGATCCTTTTTATATTATATTGTAGTTTTTTTCGGTTTTATCATTTTTGTTGTAAGTTATGATGTTGGTGTATCATCATTGTAAGTGTTTATTCTTTTGCTACCCCGCTTTTAAGATCAAAACTATTTCAACTTCTAAGCAATTCGATGGTGTTTCTATCTTAAATTAACTCTTAAACAAATACGTCCAGCATCCTGTCCTCCTACAACTAAACGTTCATTAACCCAAATACGCGTTATTGGGGTTAGCCTTAAAACGCTGACATTCAAAAAGGAAATTTTTAAAATCCTTGACGAACTGTTCGTTGATCAAAAAAAAAAAAGGAGTGTTGGTTAAATACAATAGGATGTTACATGATTTTTTTATGATCCATGCTCATTCTTTTATGATCCTAGCTCAAGGGTGCGCATGTGATAGAAGTGATTTATGAGGGAGCCTTCCTTCATTAACATCTGCAGCGCTATGGAGCAAATAAAACGTTAAAAAATTAAGGAGGATGGAATGAAAAATGTATTATAGGTTTATTAGAGGGTTTATGATTATTTCCTCAATATAAACTCATTGTCATTAGACTAAAAGAAAGAAATGAGATTTATGAAACAAAAAGCTAAAAGTTGTTGGTTTAGAAAATCCCTTACCACAAGAAGCATGGACTTATCGGTGATGTGGCAAATAATATTAGTGAACATCTGGATTGCCCAGTTTATCGCATTTCACGAATGGACGGCAATCTGATACTATTGTGGGATGTGCTGCTGTAGGGGTAAAGATCATCGACGTCAGAAAGTTCCGCTTGGTATTAGGATGGTGGTCTACAACCAAGCGGGGATTCGGGCACTGGGGCATGCAAGCAAATGGCTGTTGGTAAGAGCAAATTGTAGCAAACATCTCCATGAATTTCACAAATAGTGCAGTTTCGTTTAACCGTGAAACCATCCTCTGCAGCTCATTACAGCCATAATGAGGCTGTAGTTGAAATTCATTCAATTCTCAGAGGACTGCGGTTGGGATTGGGATGGAAGGCCGTGTTTTGCAAGATAAGACGCACATGATGGAATCGAGAGTACCGAAACGGCGGATGAGTTGGCAAAAGAACTCTCGTGTGCTAGTAATATAGTGGAACATTGTGCTCAGCAATATCGGCATAGGAACAACAGTTAGAGGAAGCGAGAAAAAAGAGCTCACATTAAGACATTTTTTCCAATGGTCAAACGATAAGTTTAAGAAGAACAGTCAAAAGTGGCCATTTTGCTTATTATTTCTTGTCTCGAGTAACCCTAAATTCAGCGAAGTTAATTAACCCGTTTCCATATTTGATAGACCTTGTCCAATATATCGCCCGGCTGCAGCCATCTGTCCCCTTGCAGTGCCATATGTTCGATCAGCTGTATTCTCTCACCCTCGAACATTAGACAGCACGAAACGACGAAAATTTAGGTCGCAGTGCAAGAAAGGTAGACTAAAAGAAAGAAAAGACTTTTTCTTTTTCAGTTGGGAAGGATGCAATTGTCCTTTCCTTCGCTGTTTTGGATCTGTCTTCTTCCCATTTCTTCTATCATCATCTAATATCGCCTTGTTTGTTTATTCATCAGCCTTTTGATTCCCACCATGTCCTGCGTGAGCTTTTATCCACAAGAAGCCAAATGTATGATTGGTATATTGATATGTCTCTTATAACGGAACCGGCCTATTGCCATCCCTTTAGCCTGTATACAACGAAGTCTCAACCAAATCTTCCATCCCTTTTGCTTTCATCTGTGTATATTGGGCGGTATTTAAGCCGTTTGTAAGCCGAGTTGATTTTAAAGAGAATAGGGAACAAAAATAAAATTATCCTAAGGAAGAACTGTTCTACTTACTGTCTTTGTGGGGAAAAGTGCATAGATTTTGCTGATAATGATAAACGGAGTTTTCTGCCAACTATAAACCGTAAATTTACACTAGTAAGGAGCATTTAATTAAAAAATATTACTATTAACATTTTGTTAAATCAACACCGGATCACCTACTGGGTCCGCTCACACTCGCAGGTATGTCACTCAAATAGGTTTTGGCTTTGCGCCTTCTTCACTGAGGAACTGTTTGTTTTGTTGTCCGTGGAGGCCACCATCAACTATAAACATTTTGCTATCGTCAATTTAAAAAAAAAGTACACCTGCCTTTCTATAATTGTAATAGTTTTTGGATGTTATAATTTTTGCTATCATACGTTTTTTTATTATCTCACTTTTGTTTCTTCAAGTTTTTAAGTTCTTTTTATGCTAATTGTAAGTTTTTAAGACGATTGAAGATGGTTAAGTAAAAGCAGGAAACCTTTTTTGGAAAAATAAATATAAATTGGTAAAAGTCGGCTTCTTTTGTGGTTTCGACCCGAAGAATTTCGCCTCATCACATACAAAATTCAGTATTATTTCTACTAAAGGATTTTTATTTTAAATTAGTCTTTTCAAAATTTACCTCCTTCCTACCTACACCTAAAAGTTGAATAACCCCTTGCTAAGTGCGTTAGCAGATTAACTGAAATTTACTTAAAAAATCCAGCCCAGCGCCAACATTTAAAAAAAGGAAAGTTTTTGAAGCGTTATAAGAGAGGACAAAGAAATCTTTACTTCGGACATCAAACACGAGATGTTGTAACTTGTTTTAAATCATTCTTGTCCGTGTCTCAAGGAGGGACACATTCATTCCACCGGCTGGAAAGGAAATGCTTCCTTCGGAAGCAACCTTGCTTGCTCCACTCCCTCCAGAAGTCACGATGCTCCCTTCCTTCATCGACCACGCTTCTTAACTCTTAAGCCAGTTGATTTCTGCCTCGTGTCGGCCCAACATCGTCACGCACATTGGAAACTACAACATCTTGCGGACTAAACACCAACCTCGTATGGCTTTATACTGCCCGCAGGTATGCTAAAACTATAGTTTCACCTCCGTTATACAATCTCATGCCGGCTATCCACAACCTGTTCCATTCATCTTTGAACTTTCCAAGAAGTCACTTCGTCTGAAGACCATTAGTCGGACCGATTTCATAACAAAGCTGTTATCCCGCTTCTGAAAAAGATCCGTTTAAAATTGGGTGAATTTGAAAATTATCCGATGTACGCTAGTGCTGTCAAAAATCCCCTGGTGTGCCATTCCACTTGGCGCCTTCACGTCTGCCAAAATTAACCTACATATAAATAGTACTGCGATTTTAATTAAATTGTCACATACTTCTTACTAATTACAACATTTATCAACACCGAAAAAAATTTACATCAAAATCATAAAGGTCATAACACTACTACTTCACTACCGCAACGACAAAACCGCTTGCAGAAGTAAAGCAATATTATGCTAGTATGCAGTATTATGCTGGTGATTGTTTCGTTCAAATAATAAGTTTAAAACCTCATCTCTGTACACATATTTCATAGTATATAACAAACACCTTTTTTTTTTTTTTTTCTCCCCTGTGAATCGTTTAGAGGGTGGATTTCGAATTGAGGGCGGATTTTTCTTATTTAAAGCTATGCCAAAATCCCAGACCAATTTTGTTTTACATACTTCCGTTTTTTTTTTTTTTTTTTTTTAAATATTTTGAGTAAATCTTCAACGGGGAGGTGTGCTTGCCTTGCTAATTGACTGGCGCTTCAAGTATCAACTTTTACTGCGGCTTGCTAATTACTTTTATACATCGGAAACGAAGAGAAACTAATTATTATATAAGGGCACGACCGGTCATTTGAGTACCTCAGTTTCTAGCGGATTTTTATACACTAAACAAAAAACCTAAATTGCTATTGACCTTAGATCATTTTTTCAAGTAAACTATTTTGGTGGGTCTTATCTAGTTTTTTACATATTAGAAAAATATTAACGTTTACAATAAAAAAAATACTAATATGAATGTAAGATATGGCAAAACCTATGAGATATTTCCTTTTTGAAAGGGTAAATAATATTTTTTTAAAATGCACAAATAAGACCCTATTTTGGTTGTTCATACCGTAATTCGTGGCACAAGGTGTCACGCGAAACAAAACATTGTGTCTTTCAGCTCCTTAAAATTGTATGTCATCATGCATGTGTAATTCGTGAAACATGAACTTGCCTCATTAAAAAACAAAAACAAGAGTACACTTCTTTCTATGACATACGGAGTAACAAATAACAAGTTTTTGCTTTTAAAACATCGAAAGATTGCGAATATACTTTACAATATAAACTTTATATACTGTATACAAAAGCCCAAATTACCACAGATAGGAAGAGAGCCGAAAACAAAATATATTTCGAAATATTACATTATTCATGAAGGATGCAAGGGGAATGAAACGTTCATGAAAAATCCATCCCGAACGGAACTTTTGTTGCTAAATATTGTTAGATAATCGGTTTAAAACCTTCGAAAATATAAAAAAATCGGTGATCTACGCGTAATATTTAAAATCCGAGTATCAATTCGCCAATGGTTTCCTAATCCTTATTACTTACGTGAAATTCCTCTTGTAACCGCACGAAAAATTAAAATCCAATGACCACGATAACAAATGTTTTCAATCAAAATGTCAACAGTAATATAAAAATCCTTAATCCAATTCAAATTGATTTGAATTCTATTATAACCTCAATCAAAACTATTCAAAACAGTAATCACAGTACACAACAGCAATTCCAAGTAAATTACAATAAAATTAATTAATAATTATAATTAAAATAAAAATAAAGAATCGCCATTACAATATTTTAAAATGTGCCAGAATGACAAATTACGACAGTGTCAAAAAGTAAAATAAAAAGAACGTTTTCTGTAAAACGCATTAATTCACGAACATTTTTCCGTAGAATAAGTAATTAATTGCTAATTGTCTGTAGATTTATACAACTGTAGTACACTCACATTAATTGCTCTAAAATATAATCTAATAATATTTCGCCATTTTCATTTTTGGTGAGCTTTTGAACTATACCGGTTTCAAGGCAAACATCTCCTCGCATTCTGATTTCGCATCATCTTTAATGTTGTATATGCGCTAGCAGGGCTATAACTAACCAAGAACCTGTTTGCTTCTATTTTGCATTTTGCTTGTGTCGAACGAGAACGATGTATAAAATTGTTTTGTTGTTTTATTTCTGATGATCAAAGCGGATCGATTTAATACATTTAAAAGTTTGGCTGGATCATTGGATTGGCCATATGACAAGTCAATGGTATAAGAACATAGAGATTCATTTTGTTTTCGCTATATTAAGCGATTTACTTACTTAATTACATTTCTGTCCCACAAAACGTGGGAATTTCATTCTTTGGCTTGGGTTTTACCAAACAATTTATTCTCAAATCAGGTATTTATAGTTTTTTAGATGACACCCAACTTTGAAGACTGGAAAATGTTAATTTGCTCTATCGATTAATTCAGTAATCATTAATTCATGACCAACTGAAAAAACAGCATTTATACGATGCAATATAATGTTGCTGAAAAGCAAGAAACACGATTTTTTTTTTTTTTTGTTGGACATATAGCGATTTTTTAATAACGAATGAAACACAGACAGTTAAGGTTCATAGTTGACTGAAATATTAAAAATAATCAATTATTTCCACAAAAATTGTCAAATAAACAATAAATGACTAAGAATTTAGTAATATTTTTATACGGAAAAAGACAACTTCGGTGGTAGAGGTCAGATACAAGCAAGGTCTGACCCAAGTAGGTGATCCTCATCAGAAATCATAAGCTCAATTCTGTGTGTGTGTGTGCATGTTGTGTTGAACATATATAAATCAATTTTTATAAATCAAAGTAAAGAGGATATTTTCAACATGAAATTTTGAGTCGTTTTATACATAATGACCGTTTATTACTTGTATTCATGAACTTTAAATCATTTTGATATTTGTTATGGATTATAAAAAATCTTTTAAAAAATTATCCTCAGTGCCAGCATGCAATTAACAAACCTGCACGGCACATATTGAAACTTTTGCGTTGGTCCTCGAGCCGTTTCAAATATTCATATCCTCCAATCAGATCAATGTCGAGAAATTTGATCGATTCTTTTGACTAAAATAGGGCGTACTGGCATACACAAAGTCCAGAATTTCTTCAAAATGTTATAAAAGATATTCACGCGAGAACAATTCGTTATAAAACCCTGCGTAGAAACATTGATAGAAGAAAATGTAAATTCCAGACAGTTTGATCATCACATTATGATAACGACTTTACTGAGTATTCTGTTGAAACTGCTGTGATTACCCTTTCCGAAATGCCAAAGGACGCAATATGTCCGTGTGGTCAGTCCAGTACTGACGAGTTCAATTTTCAACAATTTTCTTTCTGTAATAAATTCGATTTTAATTTTTTCTTGAAATTTATAATTTAGCCGGTGTGCCTTTTGATCCATCTTTTTCTTCATCAGCTTTATGCCACAGGTATAAAAACCATTTTAAAAATATTGTTGGTTAGTTACCTATCATCCTGGTCTACATATCCTCGTTGAATTTTGTTCGTTCAGACGCGTTTCGACATTTTGCCATCTTCAGTGTTTAGGTGAAGTTCACAAGTATCACTCAAACACTGAATATGGAGAAATGCTGAAACGCATCTGAACCATTAAAAAACAGCGAGGTTAGACAGAGCAGGATGATAGGGTACCTATCAAACAATAGGTTATCTGTAGGATGATGTTCCTGACCACAGGAAGAAATCTCACCATTTTAAAAATAGTTTAAACAATAGTTAAATTAGGAAAGAAACACATCCTATTGGCAAATTTTCATGGTTTAAACACGGGAGACCGATGGAAAATTAATGATTGCACGTCGTTCCCAACATCATATATAAAGGGAAATATTTTGCTTGAAATAAATCGTAACGATTTGACGCGGTAACAACCGATATTTGAACCATTTTCAAGCTGACCTTATGAAACAGGAAGACGTCAAATCTTTTTACGCCCGGTCCTTGGACGAACCGGAAAAAACGTGATTAAGTCCCTGACTTTATTAATAGTTTATTAAAATGTGACTGCACTGTTGGAGATGTAGTACAAATCATAATGACAATACTAGATTACTAATTTTTGCCGACATTTCCTTACAACAGTTATTATCAATAGGATTATCTGAAATCACTAAATATCAAAACGGATAAGTTTCATCATCATTAAAAAAAAATTGCCTTATTAAATAATTTTTTAATTCAATTCTTCCATTAAAAATTTATCCGTTTAATGAATAATATATAATAAACAATCCAAGCGAATAATTTAAAATATAATAAAATAATCACTCCCACATCGATTTCATCTCTATTTTATTCAATTAACACAAAATTTGTTACTGCCTTAATGAAAATCTTGAAATCTTTCCGACTGGATAAACGCCAAAATCAATTGTTCTTGTGCAATTAGCAACGTTTTTTCGTTTGTTATTATCTGGTCCCTTAAATAACAATTAACTCTAGCTATAATCAACTCGTTAACAGACTGGAAAATATCAGTACAATATTTTCTGTTTGTTTTTATTTATTTAATCGTCCCGCCTTTCGACAATCATGTTCAACCACGTCTTATAAATTTATTATTTCCTGTTAGAAAGTCGATCTGTTTCTGTACGACGATGGCTCTGGCTAGATTTTTTAATTTACTTTAAAACGTAATGAGACCAGTCTTTATTTTCAAGTTTGACGTTGTTCGAAGAAGATACGAAAAATATGAAGTATAAGTACGTAAGTACACACAAACGAACACACAATTTTATTTTACTGTTTTTTCTTCTTTTTCTGGCTGTTTTATTTCATTAAATATTATTAGAAATATTTTAAATAATATTTGCTAAGAAAAGATAATCTTATTTTATATATTACCAACCCCAAGGTTCATATCTTCTCTATTGATAGGTTGAAAAATTCC